TTAGTTAATAGGACAATCATGTGGTTGTATAAAGTTGAATCACATAGGTTGTATATTTATTCATGCCCCTTTAAACATGATCAAAATTGGACTCCCCTAGAAAAATGCATGATATGTGTTCATTATATGCATAAAAGATGGCGATTTGAGTATTTATAGGAGAGATGGGGAGTGAACAGCCTAATGCTGTCTTCGTGTTTTATGTCCTCCTTCATTATCCAGATCCTTTTAAGAGTATGAAAACAAGTGGCTGAGATTCTGACAGCAACGAGCTCTCTCATTTTTTATATCCTTGCTTCTAGACAGTGCTTATATTATGTAGATTCGTACACATTCACCATAGATTCAGCGTCCAAGTAAGAGTCAAGCACTTGTTGAGCACCGGTGATGCACCAAGTTCCTTCTTCTAACTGGGAGGCCCCACAGGAGAGTGGAAAGGGCCTTCGATTGGGCATTTGAATGGATTCTCACCTCAGCTGTGTGACCTCTAGAGCTCTAGATTTCCCCATCTTTACAATGAGTAGGTTATAATAAATAGGTGGTCGAGGGGCCTTTCCAATAAATATTATATGTGGAAAAACCCAGTAAGTTAAAACATAAAAGGAAAGTGGTCAGAACAGAGGGGGGAGTCCAGAGCCATGGTGCCTGACCTACACAAGTCCGCAATGGGCTCCTTCCCCACCTCTCTTGAATGGCTTATAAGACAGGTGGCATTATAAGTCTCCCCAAAATGGTTTCTTTCTGAGCTCCCTTCTTGCAGGAACCTCAGTGACACCATTTCTTTGCCCCTGCAGGTGTCTCAGCCATCATCATCCCCCGCCTGGAGCTGATCATCTCCTTGATGAGCTCCGTGAGCAGCAGTGCCCTGGCCCTCATCATCCCGCCCCTCCTGGAGCTCCTCACCTTTTACCCTGAAGACATGAGCTGTGTCACCATTGCAAAGGACATCATGATCAGCATTGTGGGCCTTTTGGGGTGTGTATTTGGGACATACCAAGCCCTCTATGAGTTGATCCACCCCTACAACCATTCCATAGGCAACTCCACAGATGTCCATGCGCGTCACTACCTATTTTTATTCTAAGAGTTCTCCCTCCTCCCATCCAGAGTTTGACTTCCGCTGTGGATATTATATACATTTAGCAAACCCCACCATCTCTTATATTAACTAGTGCCTTCTTTACCTTTCTAAGAGAAATGTAGATTACACAAGTCTGTACAGAGACCTCTCAGGCTGTGCTATTTTTATCTATCTATCTACTTATTTATTTATTTAAGCTTTGGCTATTTTTGGAGGTCTTTCGTACCTCCTAACCAAAACCACATTCAACTATTTGTATTATCAGCCTCGTTTAATGGGACAAGGGATGCCAATTGCCCATGATATCCCTGGAATCAGAGACCACACATACTTGTAAATGCAAAAGTAACTGTTTCCTCTATTGGGCAGCAGCTGCCCTGAAAGCAGCGGCTAGAAACATGTATGTTGGGGAAGAGGGTTTCCTATTTAGATATTCTTCTATGTGGAACAGTCCCAGACAGAACAAAATAGAACTTTGCAGTAATTTTATCCAATCATTGGTTCTGCCACTTATTTCCTATGGGATCTTGAGCCCAGAATTTAGGGCTGGTCTGTGGCTAAGTTGTCATGCAGGACAGGATGATAGACAAACCCAGGCACCTGACATGAATCCACCTCTCTTTGTTGGATCCTTGCTCCAGAACAGCTGCTGGTGGGTCCACCTCTTCAGCATCTACTTGCCACATTCACCCTGACAGCACTCACAGCTCTGAGGGCTGCCTCTACCTCCCCTAGTACTGGAAGGGCCTACTTTGGGTCAGAAACTATGGATCTGGCCCCCTGGAGGGAAGACAGGGGCCAGAGGAATTGTCTCAAGGACAAAAGGACAAAGCATGCATGTTCTTACATCGGAGGTCGCAAATTGGCCACCCTGAGCCAAATTTTCCCACTGATAAGTCTGTTAGGCCCCTCTGGCCCCTGCACAGTGTTTTAAAAAAAAATAATTGCTTGCCAATATCTAAACATTGTAAGATTCCGTATAAAAGTCTGGATTTCCAGCATCTCTAAGGAAAAAAATTGAAAATATCTGGCAAACTGGGCCCACAACATTCTCACATGCCACTAACTGGCTATGTCCAGACAGCAGTGGCCCCTACAAACAGCATGTGCCCTTTCCAACTCACCCAGTCCCCATCATCCCTGATTATATCCCCAACTCCACACTGGGCATCGGCTGCCTCACATCAATGCATATGGGCTGTTTGTCTTCCTTATGGTCACTCATTTATGTCTTGTACTTGGCCCTGCAGGCACCTGAGGTTGTCAACTATCTTCAATACGTAGAGCATTCTTAAATCTCTCTCCCATGAAAGGCCCCCCACCCCACACCCTGCCTCTCCAGGATACACTGTGACTCACTGTTAAATGGGCAAATCTAGAAGACTACTCAAACTAATCGCAGATGTTAATGGAGGAACAGACTGAGTTCTACTAGTTCAGGCCCTTCATTGTCCGAGGCGGGTGGAGTAAAATGAAAACTGATAATACTCTCACTCTGCTTTTAAGTTAGTGATAAAAAAAAAAAATTTAATGAGAAAAGTCATTCAAGGTACTTCAGGAGAGCAAGACTGGTTAGTCTGAACTTGGGGTAACAAAACATGTTCATTCTCTTCCTTGACTGTTTGGAAAATAAGTTAAGCTCTAAGAGAGAAAGCCATAGGGGTGAAGAGGAGAATGAAGTGGCCAGCCCAGTAGATGTCCTGAGCTATCAAGAACTGCCAGGATCACCCCACCTTAGGTTAGGGCTGCTTGCCCACACCTAAAATGTAAGTGGCACAAAATGACTTTCAGCAAGGGTAGTAGCATCACTGGAGAAAGGGGCTTGAAGGGGGAGAGAAAATCAGAATTTGGCTTTGACAAATGCAAGACGGAGGAGGAGGGACACCTTCCTCACAGGCCTTCATTCTGCTGCAGCTGGTGCCACATTCATGGCCTCTAGAGAGACATCGATCTTGAAACAGCCCAGATGTTTCTTGCCGCTGCTTAGGATATTCTGGATGCGGTAGTTTCCGGTACTGAGCCAGCTGGGCAGGTCCAGGTGGGGTATGGTGATAACACTCTTGGGCAGTGAGTATTTGCCCTGTGGAAATGCCAGTGGATCACAGGTCAGTGGGAACCTACTGATAGAACTCTCTCCTGGAGCCACCGCTAGGTTGCAACCAGGAACTATCCCTCCCTGAGTACTTACTTCTTTGAAGGGACAGTGGCAGGGAAGCCCATAGGTGTGCAGGGGCTCTGGACAGGGCTCTCCAGGGGGAAGAAAAATGTCAAATACGTTACAGATGTCTTCGTAGGTACAGCTACCGATTTGTTCTACACATGGGACTTTGACCCACAAGCCAGCCATTTCCCTCTGCACAGTTAAGTCCACCTGGTGAAAAGATTTTGAAAAAAGTGTCAGTTTCAAGGCAAACCTACTAGTTCCTCTGCCTCTTTAAAAGGTCAGCATTTCATTCCAATCACACGGTTTTTAATTGGTTGGGATCTTTGGAGATATTCCGATCCAGAAACGACAAATGGTGGCACATGCCCCACTATTATCCTTTCCTGTGCCCATGACAGACATGAATCATCAAATGTGACTTTGTCCCTTCACTGAACCACACAGTCTTAGAATTCTTTAGGTAGTCACCACCCATACCCATTGGTTGAAGCTAACACTTGAGTTGAAATGCATTTGTCATCTAACTGCTAATTGGCTAACTGTAGCACTGCTTCCTAGACTTTCTCAAAGCAACTACAAAAGGCAAATAAATGTATGAGAGGGCCCTAACTGGTATAGCTCAGTGGATGGAATGTTGGCCTGCAGACTCAAGGGTCCCAGGTTCGATTCCGGTCAGGGGCATGTACCTTGGTTGCGGGCACATACCCAGTGGGGAGTGTGCGGGAGGCAGCTGATCAATGTTTCTCTCTCGTCAATGTTTCTAACTCTCTATCCCTCTCCCTTCTTCTCTGTTAAAAATCAATAACATATATTAAAAAATAATAATAAATAAATAAATGTATGAGAGGAACTTTAACCTCAGTATGGATGACATACAAGACTGAAGAGGGTCCTAACTGGTTTGGCTCAGTGGCTAGAGCGTTGCCCTGTGGACTAAAGGGTCCCGGGTTCGTTTCCAGTCAACGACATGTACCTTGGTTGCGGGCACATCCCCGGTAGGGGGTGGTGTGCAGGAGGCAGCTGATTGATGTTTCTCTCTCATTGATGTTTCTAACTCTCTATTCCTCTCCCTTCCTCTCTGTAAGAAATCAATAAAATATATTTTTTAAAAAAGACTGAAAAGGATTTTTACAAAATGCTCAGTGTCACAAATGTGTGGGGAAAGCCAAATCTACTATTGCCAGTGAGCGGACAAACAGGTTGAAACACTTAGAGGCACGTTGGCAATATCTATATCAAGAGACTTAAAAAGTCTGTGTCTAGATGATCAGAAAAGTAGGAAAAGGTGCATTTCAAGGATAATTTCTGCAAAGCTCTTTATAATAGCAAAAAATAAAAAACTACCCTGGAAACAAACTAAATATCCAACATTAGATTTAAGTAAATTATGACAGATCTACAACAGTGTATTTCTGCCATTAAAAACGATTAGGTAGATGTATGCCAAATGCCACAGAAAGAGGTATGGACAATAATAGTATGGTGCAAAAAGTAATAACATGTCATATAATCCCACAGCATAAATGTACATATATTTACAAATGCAGAAAAAAAAATTCTGACAGGATATGTAAGTAGCTAACAATGCCTATCTTGTGAGGAGTTAGATTATAAGAGGACATTTATAAAGAGCACTGGTCATTTTCATATATATCCATTAAATTAATATGTATGTTATATGTGATTATGTGGGGGAATATTCCAACATGTTAAAAGTGCTTACCTCTTCTTATGAGGTAGAGAAATTTCAGATGATTTATTTTACCCCCACTCCCCCCGCTCATTTTGACCATTTGTGTTTTCTAAAGTTGGCTACATATCACTTGCTAATCGATGAGCCTGTTTTACAGTTAACAATGACACCATTACCAAATTGCCCAACCAGAGCTGTTGGACAACAGCGCATACTGTGCCACCCTGTCCGGGAGGCCGGCGCACTCCCTGCCAGGCGTGAGGAAATGAGCCATCCGTGCCCTCAGTGGGAAGCTGTTGGGGCTGACATCAGATTCCTTCCAATGTCAAACATCATGGC